AGCTGAATTAGCTAGCAGTGTGCCCTTGCTGCAAAGAAGGCTATTGGCATAGTGGGCTACATTAAAAAGAGCATTGCTAGCTGGTCAAAAGAAATTATTCTTCCCTTCTTCAGCGCTGATGAGGCCACATCTGGAGTACTCTGTCCAGGTTTGCCAACCCCACCCCACAGAAAGGATGTAGACTGGTTAGAGAGAGTTGAGTCCAGTGGAGGTCAACAAAAATGGGTAGGGGCTGGGGCACATGACTTCTGAGAAGAGGCTGAGAAAGCTGGGCTTCTTTAGTCTGGAGAAAAGACTGCGGCAGGATTTAATAGCGTTAGTTACTTAACTTGAGACAATGGGCTTCTATGTCTATAGGATCTTGGGGTAAAAGTTTTTGTTTAGGGAGAAATCCAATATCTGTTTTTATCCTATAAGAAGGATCAAAGCCACCAGATCATATTGGTATATAAAACCTTTAAAGGCCTTTGGGCCACTGAGGGCTGTAAAGCATTTAACTAAGTGAAATTAATGGAGCAATAAGGCACCATTTTGCTTGGCTCTTGCAGCATCCATACCCTAAAGGCACATCTATATAGCTAGCTATGCCTTGGGGTCCCACTTGAAAGCATGGCACATCTGCTTGCTCCCATTCCAAGTCTCAAAAATGAAGTGATGTTGCTGTCTTAGAGTGGTACTGAGTATATATACCCAGCACTGCTCTTAGCCTTGGTCTCAGCTGTGCTTATTGGTGCACCTTCAGTTCAAGTCATTGCTTCATTTCTAGGATTTGGTGCTCCCAAAGGAGGCAAGAGTGAGCAGTGTGTGCTTCATGGTAATATTCCTGGGCATAGCAGAGATAATGTAGACAGGTCTTAACTGGCCCCACTCTCAAGTCTTTTTCCCCTTGTCACACATGTACAGAAGCTTTGAAGGTTTATGAACAGAAACACAAAGCCCTTGAAGTCATTAGAAAAATTTAACATGAATTAGGCCCCTTATTAGTAGAATTATGTGAAAATAATAAACTGAATTCATGATAAAGGTAAAAAAAGAAAACATGGAAATTATTCATGGCGGTCACACAATGTGACCTAAATGGTTGTGTGTCCCCCTTCTCCTGACCCTTCCGAACCAAGAGAATTCACCTGGGGGGGGGGGGGGGGGAAATCAAATTTGCTGCTGTTCTTTCCAAGTGAGTTTTCAAAAATCCTAAATTTACACTATATCTTCTAAAACACTATCTACAATGTACTAACTGTGACTGCTCTCTTTTTTTATTACAAACTTTCTTTTCATGCTACTGCATCTTTTCAAGTCCATTGAAACTCCAAGTAAAGCCATTAATAAAGCAACTAATGAACATTCTCATCTCACAGACAAACATTTTATATCTTCACTAAGGGGTATTAATTTGTTTTCCATAATTGCACGTAACACAGGTAATATAGCGAGCTATTAATATATCATTTTAAAGTGCTAGAAGACATTTTAACTTTAATCACATCAAGAATTAGCGAGGTTATTATCAGTCTATTAATTCAGATGAATGTATATTCTTAAATCTCTCTCTTTATTCCAGTTAGAAACAATGTTCTTTCACTCTTTAAAGTATTATATTTAAAACATTTAAAAGGAGCTTTCTATGGGTTTTTTCATTCTCTTCCTCTACCTAGATTCCCAGCTCAGATAATTAGAGGTAATTTCAAGCCATTACATAACACTTTATTTGTTGCAAACTGAAATGGACTTGACATTTCAGAATGATTTAATTCTACAGTTGGCATCCCACAGCCCTATTATGAAAAGTGTACAGCACCTTGAAATCCCACTGATTTCATTGCTAAAGGCACTCATCAGTGCAAAGAAAGTGCTGAAGAATTGGCAAGATGAAGATATCTAAGAGGAAAGAACTGTAAGGGTGACAACTTCTAAAGTTCAGAGAGGTCACCTTAATGTTTTGAAACTGTTCGGCTTCTGTTATGACCTTCTGTTTCAAAAACTCCTTTATGTACCATTTGATCTAAAGGAAACTTTTTGTTCTTTGGCAGTAGGAGGGTAAAAGCCACTTTGGGTTTGTCTTCAGTTGAAATTAAGCTTGAGTTAATTACTTGCTCGGAAATTTGACATACTTGAAGCTTTTGTAGAGGCTGGTCTGGACACTCCCCAAATGTTTGTTCAAGGCTACAAACATCTGTGGTGTGTTTTTTCTGTGGTCCCCAAATGATTTCAAGGGGAAGATAAAGACCTCCAGCTGTTTCTGGTCCTTTTTGTTAGCATTTGCTTTCTACATACAATATCTGAAATCATGAACACACCTTACTCTATAAGCTCCAGAAAAATATACCATTCCTTAACATACAATTCTGATACATCTTTAATTGAAAAGTAAAAGTAGTTGTATGAGCTATACACAAGCTTACATACTTAGCATTGAGTATTAACAAAGCATACATAGCTAGATGCAGAATCATAACATTCACAGGATGTGCCTGGGTAGTAGTCTCTCACCCTTCCCTTCTGCATTTGGGCTTCACCATGTAGGGGTATAGAAGGATAGTGTATGTCATGGAGTGCAAGGTGCTCTAGGAATTGTAGCTCTCTAGAGCAGCAGTGGAGTTCTCTGTTTCCAGGGACAAACACCCCATTCATTTGCCAAAGCACATGGCAAGAGAGACAAAAAAAAAAAGTTTTGGTGACAAAATTGGGGTCAGTTCTCTCACCAGCAGCAGGAAATTCAGTGCCACTCTATAAAAACTGATTCCCAGAATGCCTTCTGCTCTCCTGCATACACTACCTACACTGGTTGTCTTCCGCAGCCTGCTGTGTAGGCAGGAGAGAAAAGCATCCCCTTTCCATCCTTCTGGCAACCCTCCCCTTAGGAAGTGCCCAAAGAATGTTCCCCATTCATCCATTCAATGTTATGCCACTGACTAAATATATCTTAATACAAGAAGGAACTATGCATTTTTGTCTTTGTGAATATTATCTATTTTTAACAAAGATTTTCCTGACTGTACATGTAAATTTACACCTTCATTTTTCAACATAACTGCCTCTGTAATCAGAATAATCTCTCACATGTATTGCCAACTAGAGGGTAGCATGGTTTTAGTAGTAAATCTTGGAACCGTCAAATTTGGGTTCTATTCCTGTAGCGCTAGTCTTTTGTCACTACAACACTCTGACTATTCCCCTTCTTAGACTGTAAGTACCACCTTACCTCTCCCCTTGTAGCTAATGGAATTTACAACCCCAGGGGCGCTGGGGACAGATGGATGTCTAAAAAAATGGGTTCACATAAACTAGAATCCTCAGCCATGGAGGATGGCTTAACCTGGCTAGTAACAAGTTCACTGGAGCAGGGACTGGTATATGCTTCTCCTAGCAGTTTGTGTACAAGTCCAGGCTTTACAGTCATTCTCTGAGGCTGAATGAATACTGAATCATATTCTACAAAGCAGCACATTTTCTATAATAGACTCAAGAGAACACTTCAGTATGCTCTATAGCACATCAGTTAGGGCACCCTGATGAGAGGCAAGAGGCATGGATTCAAGTTCATGTTTCAAATCAAATATAGGAGACCACCCAGTCTGGCTTTCCTACCACCCAGGCAAGTATTCTAAGCAGTTTGCTAGAGGGCATATGGAGGAACCAGCTCTACCTTACCTATTTTTTTCTGGAGTAAGGCTACTTGGGGCACATTTTCTTCATGTGGCCTTGTAGGTGTGATAAATATTGCTCACTTATTTTTCTGCAAGGTTTCAAACAATCTTTTTTCTCCCTCTTTGTATGTGAATATATGAAAAGTTTTCGATCAGAAAGCAAATGGCATATAAGTGTAATAATGTAAAAAATGGTACAGGTTTTAGTACAGAAATACTATTTTCCAGAATTTCATTTTCTACTCTGGTCAAATCATGACCAGACAATACTCTAGATAAATGTGAAATGATTATCATCCTGGGTGTCATGGATGGACTGAACAAACAAAACATAGCAGAAAACTGTTTCAGTCACAGTGGTTTCATAAACCAAAGCATAGTTGCTTTAGCCACACTTTTCACTAAAATTATATTTTCAAAGTCTTCAGTTGAATCAGTCATGTTGTGTTATGCTCCCTGACTCATGACATGATGTGACTGAGAAAAAAAGTAACAAAATGCATCTAAAACAGATCAGTTGGAAAATCAAAAACAAGCAACTTTTGGAAAGGCATCAATAATAAAATAATGCTGAAGAAATATATTACAATGCTTATAGGTCAGTTGAAATTTATTTTTGCTCTTTGAAGGCTAAATTTTCAATGGCAACCAACAGATATCAATACACAGACTTCCTTCATGACCTAGAGAGAGACATTTATTTGTGCATCAATTCTCTTGCCAGTTGGCAGGGGGCTGGGACCCGATGATCTCACGAGGTCCCTTCCAGCCCTAATGTCTCCTAAAGTGGGGATAATACCTCCTTTCTTCCATACTTTGTTTCCTTGAATATTTAGATCAGTATCTCTTTAAAGGAAGATTTTGTAACACTGTCTCTACAGACTGACCTTAGGTAAACTAAAGTAGATACTATTCTCCCATCAATAAAATCATTTAAAAAACTAAAAAAAGTATCTATTGGCATTTCTAGTTCTGAAAATACTTTTTCCATAGTCCATCTCTTCAGTAGCCATAATTCCAGAACAGAAAACTCAGCATAGCATATCAGTAGGTTTAGTCAATTTGATATCTAGGTACAGCACTAGATGTGAAAGTTGGACAGAGGTAGGGGATTGACACAAGCCTAAGAGGAAAGGAAGAAAGCAGCAGACAGGGAAACATAGAATGTTGTTTTTACTTGTCTGCTACAGAATGAATCAGTGGGCTGCAAGTTAGTAAAAGGGGTTGGGAAACTCATTGTCATAGAACAGTACTGATAAATTGTTTCCTTTCCAACTAGCAGAATTGTACAAGATATGTACAATGCCCATAACAGGCTTAAAACCAGTGCATAGACACATACATTGTACAAAGAGTACTCTGTTAAAGGAACTAACAAGTATAATACCAATCCATCATTTTAAATTATATAGTAAGAAGGGGGACTATAAGTTGCTTTTGGTCTGAATAGCAGTAACATCCTGTATGTAGACAGGGTTAATACTGGCTGGAACATGTACAACATCCAGGCATACACCAGTATGTTAACTCCACTCTGAGGTAAAATTAGTCCTCAGAGGGCATGTCTACACTGTGCAGTAAGTGGCTTTTGTTGCCAGTAAGTTACTGTGCACTACGTGGCTTTTATGCCAGCATCTTACATGCAGGCATTACAGCACAGTAATTTTGTGTGTAGACTGACTTGGGACTAAAGATAGTCCCAAGTCAGTCCACACAAACAGGGTTACTGCACAGTAAAGCATCTACAAGTGTCTTACTCCACAGTAGCTATTTGGGCATAATTTTGCTACCTGCATCAAATTTGCAGGTAGCAAATTTACACTCAAAGTTGGAGCAAGTTGCCATAGATACTGCATGGTATGGGCGTACATGTGCAGCTGTGCACATGTACTGTGTGGTAATTTTAATAAGTTACTGCGCAGTAATGGTGCATGTGTAAACACACCAAGAAAGTTAAAGTAAATTTATACCTATGGTATGTCTGCAATTCTAGTTAACTGCATTCCAGAGTAGCAGTTCACTTCATATATACAGGATATGAATGGCTTCCCTCACCATCTGCTGGAGATGCTGTAACATCACTTAGTGCAAGCTGTTGTCTCCAGAGAGCTAGTTGTCCATCCACTCCAAGCACCAGTATAAGTTACTGGAGTGCAATTTTTTTGAGTCTTCATCTAATACTGCACCATAAAAAGAGAGAGTTACAGAGAGAATAAACTGTCATTCAACAAATAATTGTGGCAGCATAAGGGGTAAAGATGAATAATTCTCTCTGTAGGCTTTACTATGAATAATATTGGATATTAAAATATTTGGTGGGGAATACACTGTCTGTCTACGTTTGTATAGTGCCTATTTCAGTGGAGCCCTGACTGTAGACCCTAAATGCTAACTACTGGAAATACACAATAACAATGAGATGCTTAGTAGCATATGGCAATAATCAGCTATTAATAATAATTTTTTATTAATATTTAGCACCACCCATGTCACTTTTGGTGTGTAGACATAAGATATTTTTCCTTCCACAAATTTCTTATTGACTCAAATCCAACACAAATAAAGTAAATGTAACAAGTGGGCACCCTGAGGCTAGTCCAGCCATTGGTCCGCCCACTTGTCTCTGGGCAATCCACCCTCCTTCTTCACCTACCACACCTTGATGATAATGATTATGAGATGTCAATCAGGCAGGAGGCTGCCCATTTACTTACCCTGATGCCAAGGGCCTATGTACATGGCTCCAACTCTCCCTGTACCATGTTCCATGCCTTGGAGATGGCATTCATGTTCCTCCAATGCCTCACCCTGGGACCCGAGCTCCAGAGAGACTCGCAAGGGACTTCCACTCTCCACTGTAGTTCATAGTCCCAGTACCTTCACACTGGGCTGTACTTTTATTAATCTCTCAGGGCTCCCATTCAGGGCTCCAAGCCCCATTCCTATTTAGGGCTCCAATCTCTATTCCCATTCAGGACTCCAAGCCCCACTCTACTCAGGGCCCCAAGCCCCATCCCCTTCCCTACACTGGGCCTTATCCCCTTATCCTTTCACCCCAGGAGCTTCTTGCATAGCTCCCCATAGGTTCAGGGCCCCACCCCCCTAAAGCCTTACTCCTGGCTCCCTTAATGCAGCTTCAGATCTTGCCATGAGTCTGGGCACTGTCTTTGGCCCCTTCACTTGGCCAGGACCCTGCCTCAGAACTCACGGTGAGTCTGAGCCCTTGTTTTGTCCTTTTGGGTGTTCTCCCATAGCCTTTCTCCTCCACAGGGCCACCCACAAGGAAGCAGGGGCTGAGACTTTTAGGCACCCCATACTCACCCTTCACTGGCAAGACCCCAGTGCCACTGGCAGTCCCACCACACCATTCAGCCCCAGCAGAGTGTAATTTTAGGTCATGCCTCAGGACCAGGAACCTCCAGTCATCCCCATAGCTCCTGCCTTTACATCCAAGATGTTATAAGCAGCAGCTCTAGCTAAGCAGTGTTGTCTCTGGCTGCTTGTAGCAACTGCTGGCTTTACTGTTCAGGGCCCTTTTCTTATACAGAACAGCTGGGCCTTGCTCCCAATCAAGTAATTGTGCCTGATTGGGTCTGTAGCCACCTGTCAGCTCTTTCAGTGCTTTGCTTTTGTCCACTCCCCTATGAGAAACAGAACACACCCTATGCTTTTTTACAGTAAAGCAAAAATCCTTTTTAAGTATAAATATAATTCTTTGCAAGTAAATCAGACCAATGTGTTAATTTTATTTTATTTTTTTAATTCTATTGAAGTACAGAAATTTCCTATTAATGTACCAAATTTACCAGAATCCAAGATAAGTCACCCCCCATTTAAAGTGGGGGTGGGGAACTTCCTCTCTTGAATCTGAAAACACAGTTGTGGTGGGTGCTAGGATTCCAACCCCCACCTCAACCCAGGGTCAGACTAACAGCTGCTGTATGCTACCCCACTGCCTCTTCCCTCTCCCCACAGCCTCTGTCCCCCCACCTTCCCACCCCCACATAGTGTCCAGCTGTGCCTCAGATCCAGCCTGGGGCATGGAGCACATGGTTGCTCAAGCCCCGGCCCAGCCTCCGGCTCATGCTGCTAATGAGCTGGAGCAACCACATGCTCTGTGCCCCAGCCTAGGGTAGGACTGCAGCTGGAGTTGAAGCTGGAGCTGGAGGATGAGCAGCAGTGGTGGTGGACCAGATGGGAGACAGGCAGCAGAGGAGTACCAGATAGAGGGGACATGCATGAAGGGACAAGAGCCAGAGAGTACAGACATGGGAGGCTGGGGGAAGGCGGGCAATTAGTGGGGAAGCAGACACCAGAGGGACAGGTGCTGGGGCACACAGAGATGGCGGAAGGAGAGTTGGGGGCAGACTAATGTTGGGGGAGACAAGTGGTAGGGGACAAGCAGCAGGGGTCAGCCTGCTTGCTGCCCCCCTCACCTCCACCCCACTGCTTTCCTTGCTGTACTGGTGGTGAGGGGGCATGGTATAGTGAGAATTCAAAGACAAACCTAATATAATTAGATTCTATACAGAGAAAATTTAAACATTTTTCGTATGTAGAATTAAATTACTAGGAGGTAGTCATCTTATATTCAGGGTAATATGCTATGTATTACTAAAATAAATATTTGTAAAAGGCCATTTTGAGAAGCAGAGTTCTTGATAGCCCCATTTTATATCTATGTAATAGCTGTTTCCCAGTCATGAGTATGAATTTGTAAGATTATTATTTATTCTACTTTGTTCATTTGATCAAGTCCTTTTGGAGTATTAAACTGTCTGTTCCCTTTGAGTCATGTTCAAGAGCAAAATCAGTACACTGGATCATTCAACATAACACAGGAAAATATCCAGGTAAAGAAAAATATAACATGAAGGCACTACATAAAGCAAGAAAATGGCTAAGGATCTTGTAGCAGGGCTATCCCTAAAATGTGACCTGAAACATGGAGAAGACTGACTAATTTATTTTTCTATATGGTTAATTTTGTAATGCAATACCCCTTATAACTCAATAAAATGCATGTGAAACCATGCATGTGAAACCATGCCATTAATTAAAGCCCTATTGCCTTAAACCTTTGTTAAACTCAGACGGAATTTCACAGGAATTTATGTATGTATTAAAAAGCTTTCATCTGCAATGAAATTCTGCAGCTAAAAATTTAAGCAATATAAAATATTCCCTTTATACTGAGAGGATACTGAGAGATTATGAAGTATATAACTATTCCCTCTGCATAAGGGTGAATTTATGCAGTTCACCTCCTCCTTGTGTCTTCTCTTTTCCTCAGACCCATTTATCTGGAACCTCTAAGGTGTGTTTTGAGTTCTTTTTGGTTCTAGGATGAGAAGTGGAGATGATTAAGTTTGATAAAGTGGGCACACCAATCCACTTCTAAGTTTTTTCTATACAGTCTTTCTTATTTTGCAGAGTTTTTAATCCCTATCTGTCATTCACATTTTTCAATTAACTTAAAAACCAAAGCCAGGAATCTGGGAAACAAAAAGAGGAATTGGAAATCCTTATTGATGAGTGGTAATTTAACATTATTGCATTATTGAACTAACCACATGATCTGCATGATAGGATTGTTCATCTGTACTTGTTTTGAAAGGATAGAAAGAGTAAAACATAGAAGCACCACTCCCTAACTATACTAGAGGCACCATTACTTGTCTAGAGTTATTGATGATTCGGAACTGTAGAATCCTGCATGTATATGCATCAACATACTAAATAAAATTCAGAATGAGGGAATTAGTGATGTTTGATTTGAAAGTTAGTAAGAAACCAAGACACAGTACTCCTGAAGCAGCTTTAATTTGTGGAAAGAAAAATTATTATAGGGCTCTTTAATTTGTGACACATATGGTGGAGATTTCATCCAGACAATATTAAAAGATTAGTGGTTATTCTAAAATTTATAAATGATAATTTTCCAACAAAAAAGTATTGTACCTAAAATGAGTTGGATATTTTGGACCTCGTAATGACAGATAATGATGAATTTATTGACAGAACATATCTTAAACCTCTTAATATCTATATAGATATCTATATATCTATATCTAGATATCTATAGATATAGATATCTATATATCTATATCTAGATATCTATAGATATAGATATAGTGTGTGTGTGTGTGTGTGTGTGTATCTGTGTGAGTAACCATATAATAGAATCATAGAAAATTAGGGTTGAAAGAGACCTCAGGAAGTCATCTAGTGCAACCTCCCTACTTAAAGCAGGACTATTCCAACTACACCATCTCAGCCAAGGCTTTGTCTAGCACGGTCTTAAAACCTTCCAAGGAAGGAGATTCCAGAACCTCTCTGAGTAATCTGTTCCAGGGCTTTACTACCCTCCTAGTGAGAGACTTTTTCCTAATATCTAACTTGAACTTCCCTTGCTGCAACTTAAGACCATTGTTCCTTGTTCTGTCATCTACCACCACTGAGAACAGTTTAGCTCCATCTTCTATGCAACAACCCTTCAGGTAGTTGAAAGCTGTTATTAAATCCCCCAGACTGAACACAGTACTCCAGATGTGGCTTCACTAATTCTGAATAGGGGGGAAGAATCACTTCCCTTGATGTGCTAGCAATGTTCCTACTAATGCAGCCCAGTATGCCATTAGCCTTCTGTGGAACAAGGACATGTTGTTGGCTTGTATTCAGTTTATTGTTTGCTGTAACGCCAGGTCCTTTTCTAAAGAGATGCTTCTCAGCCAGTCAATCCCCAGGCCAGGCACGACTGGTGAACTCAGACTGGTGGGGCAGTGGAGCGTCCCATGGGAGTGGGGGGAGTTGTAGCCGGCCAGGCACTCTGGCTGGTAGTGGGGAGGCTGCAACCCCCCTGTTCCTGGCCAGTTGTGACCCCTGCTGTTGGCAGCCAGATGCAACCACCCCTGCCGCTCCCATGGGATGCTCCATCACCCCACCAGTGTGAGTTCATCAGCCATGCCTGCCCCAGCCTGTACCACTGCATGGGATTGTTTCATCATAAGTGCAGGACCTTGCACTTCCCCTTACTGAACCTCATGAGATATCTTTTAGTCTAATCCTCCAATTTGAGGTCTCTCAGAGTCCTAGCCCTACCCTCCAAAATCACCAAATACATGATTTCATGATTTCACAGAAATCATGTAATTGGCAGTCTCCTGTGAAATATCCAGTTCTTCATGAAAAAGTGCAGGGAACTGGCTATGTTAAAAAAGCTGGCAAAGACCCGGAAAACAGCTGTCTCCTAGAAAGGTGGGGGTAGGGAGAAAGCAGCAGAGAGAAGGAAACAATAAATGCACTGCCTATCTCCTGAAGCAGGGTGGGGATGGAGTGAGGGAGGCAGGAAAAGCAGCACATCTTGTACCAGCACTACTTGTCCCCAGGGAATGCCTGTGCCACACACCCTCTGTCACACAGCAGGTTACCCTGGGTCGGATAGAAGAGGCTGGGACAGCACTGGACTGGCCCCAGCAGCTTTATTTAGAGTCCTGAGGGCCTGCTAGGACTGCAGCAGCAGTGATCCTGCAGCTTGGAACCTGGCTGAGAGCCAGATCATGGCTCTGACTGGCCAGGCTCCAGTTTTGAACAGTGAACGCTGCCCGCGCATGCACCCATCCACTTTTTTTTTGCACAGGTTGTTTTGAGCCTGGCATCTCCTGGGGTCAAGCTCCTTCCCTCCCTTGCTGCTACCTTGCAGCATTGAGAACAGCTGAATGTGTGGTATGTGGTGCTGCAGACTTGTCTGTGGCATCACATATCACATGCCCACATTTGCTTAGACACAGCCATAGGGACAAGGCGATCACACAAAAGCTAATCTAGGAAATAGGATAATAATCCATAGTCCCTGTTTAGACCATACTTAACACAATCCAGTCTTTGGGTGACTTCCTGCTCAAGTTTAATTTTTTAAAATTTTGTTGCCTAGGAGCAGCTACCCTGAGGTCAACAATGGAACATCTGGAGACATTAAAGTCTTCTGCCACAGCCTTATGTGTTTTTCTGGAACCAATATCAGATCAGAGCTCGCTCATTCATTCATTCATTCAACATAGGGATCTCCTC